CACTATTGGTGGAGAGTAATCTGGCTGTACTGAGTGAAATTAAGTGTATGTATATACTGTGACCGAACAGTCCCACAGTGGGTACATCCCACAGGAATCCCCTACTGGTCCAGTAGGGAATGGTAAGGATGTCACTGTGGCTTTATTGGTGGTAGTGGGAAGTTGATGGCAATCTAAGTGTCCATCTCTAAGAGAATGGATTAAATTAATGTTATGGCTATCCACTGTGGAAGACCACCCAGCATTTAGAAATATCAAACCAGGCGTACATTCAGCAACATGGACACATTTTACAAGCATAGTGTTGAGTGAAAATGTGATAAACAGAACAAGTGAAAATTAAAAGGACAGACAAAGTAGATCAGTGGTTGCTAAAGGCTGGGTCAGGGGAAGAGAAGCATGCTAATGGGTAAGGGTCTCTTTTGGGGGTGCCTGAAAATATTCTAGAATTAGGAAGTGATGACGGCTGCACAACTTTATGAATATACTAAAAACCACTGAAATGTATAGCTTAGAAGGGTGAATTTTATGGTATGTGAATCACGTTGCAATAAAAGAAAAAGTACACACAAACCAATATTGTCTACTTGTTTTAAGGACATATCAAAAAGTTGGAATGGCTGCCTGAAAGGGGAGGGGATGGGATTGGGATTAGGATGGAGTGGAGGAGGCCTTTTCAAAGCCCATGGACTGAGGAAGTTGATTAACTCAATCCTTTGTGCCTGTGATAAAACCAACCAATAAACAACAACAGAGTATGGGGGTGGGGAGAAAAAAAGGAAAAACATGTTCACAAATAGTTTTAATGAGGGAAACCATGCTATAATGATGAATGAAAAGAAATAGAATACAACAGTTTTAGGAATATTATATGTGCAACTATGTAAGATGATGTATGTAAATGGGCAAAAATATGACAGGTAGCTATAGTACAGTATCATGTAAAATTGTGGGGTATAGTGGCAGTGCTTCTGCCACTGGTTGCATAATCTTGGCCACCATGGTACTTAATTTCTCTGTAGCTTAGCTTCCTCATATCAAGTGAAAATAATAATACCTACTTCCAAAAGTTCTTATGAGAATTAAATGAGTTGATTTATGCCTAATACATAGTAAACCTTATGTAAGTGTTAGCTGGCATTATTTTCTTAACTTTTTAAACTATAGTCTCTGGATTCAGACTGTGTATCCAACTGAGCTCCACTACCCACCAGCAACGTGACTTTCACAAAGTTACCTATCGTGAGCCTCAGTTTTCTCATCTATTGTGAGGATTAAAAGGGATAATATACTTGGCACATGATAAAGCACTTGATAAATGTCAACAGGTTATATTATTAGGGATATTATTAGTACATTGTCATAGTTTTAAAAGTATTACAAAAAAGAATAGAAGGTACAAAATATATTTTTCATGTTCTTCCTAATGTATAAATTCTTCCATTTTCATTTCATTTCATTTTGGGAATAGTCTGCCCAGACCTTCCTCTTTGTCCTCAGGTTATATACTTGCATGGCACTTTGACATCTCTTTCATGGGAGTAATTAATTAATTAGATAGGTAAGCAGTTTCTGGTTCACATCTGTCGTCCTCAGTGGAATCTAAACTCAGTGATGGCAAGGATGGTATCTGTCTATGTACAACATCTAGCACAGGGCCTAGCCCTTTGTTGACTAACAAGTATTTATTGATGAATGAACAGGTAATGAAATAAACAAAAGCATTTAAATACATACGTTCTGAAATAGCAGAGTCATGAGATTAAAGGCAAGTGTCATTTCCTTCATCTCTCTGGGAAGTGAGGAGTTGCTCATTTTGTAAGATAGGAAGATAGTCAACATTCAGATTCTGGGGAGCTGTTTTTGGCAGCTCTTCCTTACTAGAATCACACTGCTTGAACCTGTCCCCAGGAATCCTTTCAGCTACAGTAGAGCTTTGGAAACCCAGTACTCTTCCAGATTAACTCCTGTTCCGAAAAGGAAAAGTATTCCGTCTCTCTAGATTATCTTCACCTGGTGTACATTAGTCCTTACTCACTGTCTCATGAAAGGGTAGGGACCTTAAAACTGTCTTTCATTTCACAGATAAGAAAGTGGGTCCAGAAAAGTGAGTTGAAAGCCTAACATTGTTAATAATAGAGCTGGTATAACTAGAAATGATATCATCCTTACAGTTCTCTCTCTGTCAATATAATATATCCAATAATGTAACAGCATCAGTCATTAAAAATTATGTTTATGAAAGAATTTTTATTACATTAGGGAAAATGTTCTTGATATGTTAAGTGACAGAAGCAGACTAAACTTGTATGCATAATATGTATTCAATTATATATGTGTGTGTGTTTGTTTCTCGGTTATCTATGTAGAAGATAAAAAAGGAAATGTGTCAAAATATTAACAGTGTTTATCTCTGGTTGGTGGGGTTATAGTTTATTTTTACGTAAGCTTTTCTGCATTAAAACTTTATTTTCAATAGGAATGTAATACTTTATATCAGAAATTTAGGTTTTTAAATTCCTAATTGAATATTTTTGAAAGCTTCTGTTTTGGTACAGATCAACCCCGTGGAGTGAGGGAGCATAAACCTAGAGTCCAAAGAAGTTTTACGAGTCATTTCACCTGATCTGTAAAATGGTTATTATTATATCTACTTCACAGGGCTCTGTGTGTGTATATGAAGCAATAGATATGAAATCCCTTTGTAACTCTAAAGCTTGATAAAGGTGTTAGGTTGATAAAGATCCTTTATCATCCTTGATAAAGGATGATTAAGTCCTGTGACCAAAAAGAGGTGGGAGGGCTTCCCTGGTGGCGCAGTGGTTGAGAGTCTGCCTGCTGATGCAGGGGACACGGGTTCGTGCCCCAGTCCGGGAAGATTCCACATGCCGCGGAGCGGCTGGGCCCGTGGGCCATGGCCGCTAAGCCTGCGCGTCCGGAGCCTGTGCTCTGCAACAGGAGAGCCCCCAGCAGTGAGAGGCCCGTGTACCGCAAAAAAAAAAAAAGAGGTGGGAGAACGATAACAGGTACCTTTGTGCTGAGGAGCTTAGGCTGGGAGAGGAGAGAGATCTAAGTGTCAGGACAAAAGTGAGAATATTTTTTTGCCAATACTTAACAGAAGCAATCACATGCCTGACACCTCTTTGCTCTTTCCCCTACATTTCCAATAAATGCCTCAATGTTCTCTCTCTAGATTAAACCTTCCTTCCGTCTCTTAAGCAGCCCATGCAAGAGGCAACTTGTAGTGCACAAGATCTGGTGTATTTTAAGGCAGTGGCAGGTTTGTTTCACACTCCTGTCAGAAAGTGTGAAAGGCAGCCTATGTGAGCAGCAACCCACTAAGGCCTGTTTAGTCTCAAACTAGGAAGGGGCTATTTCCACTCTGGATGATAAGAGTTTGTTATGAAAAGAAGGTAACTTTTAGCTGGGACCATTTGTATTGAGCTTTATCCTTTGCAAGTCTTTCTCAGTCAATATCTTTGGAGTCCTATGAAAAATAAGATTTCACATATGATTTTTTTTAATTAGAGATGTCAAAGGTAGTATGCCTAATTATTGTTATTTTTATATTTTAAAAAGTAATACAGGGACTTCGCTGGCGGTCCAGTGGTTAAGACTCTGCACTTCCAAGGCAGGCGGCGCAGGTTCCGTCCCTGGTCGGGGAACTAAGATCCCACGTGCCACATCCCACATGCGATGCGGCCAAAAAATATAAATAAATAAATAAATAAAATAAAATTATTTTAAAAAGTAATACAGACCTGTGGTAAATTTACCCAAGAGAAATGAAAATATATGTTCACACAAAAACCTGCACACAAACATTTATAGCAGCTTTATTCATAATTGCCCAAAACTGGAAATAACTCAAAAATTCTTTAACTGGTAAATGGATAAACTGTGATATATCCATGTAGTAGAATACTACCCAGCCATAAAAAGGAATGAACTATTGATAAACACAGCATGGATGACTGTCAAATGCATATTGCTAACTTAAGTAAGGGAAGCTAGAGACAAAAGGTTGCGTATTGTATTATTCCATTAATACGACATTCTGGAAAAGGAAAACTGTAGGAGAGAACAAATCAATAGCTGCCAGAGGATGAAATGGGGGGAGAGCTGTGGCCACAAAGAGACGGAAAGAGGGAATATTGGAGAATGATGGCACTATTTTGGATTGTGATCGTTCCATGAATATTTGCCAAAACTCATAGAACAGTACGCCAGGAAGTGAATTTTACTATATAACTTTCTTAAATAAATGCATAAAAGTAAAGTAACAGGCCCATGGTAAGTTCAAACAATACAAGGAATTCAGTAAAATGTCTCCCTCCTAGCTCTTTATGGTGATAGAATAGTTCTGCATTTTGATTTCAGCAATGATTATATAAATCTATACATGTAGTAAAATGAGACAAAACTATACACACACATTATACCAGTGCCAATTCCCTGCTTTTGGCATTGTACAATATAGGCCTGCTCCCCAGAGGTGAACACTATTACAAATTTCTTGTGTATCCTCTGCATATTAAATCTAATATTTTATATATGTATATATGTACATATACATTTATACTTACATACTTTTAATACAAACAGTAGCATATTTTACACACTGTTCTGCACCTTGATATTTTGCAGCTATTACTTTGGAGATATTTCCATATCACAAACACATGGATCCACATCATTATTTTTTTCTGCTGCATAGTATTCGATCGCACAGTGGTATAATAACTTAATTCAACAGTTTCTTATTAATGGATATTTGGATCTTAACAAGGAATTTAACCTAAGAATTTGTAAATTTTTAAAACATGGAAGGTCAGCTGGAGTTGAGACCAAACACAGATTCAGGACTCGTCTCCAGAATATCTTTTGACCAGAAGGGGGAATGCAAGAGGCAGGAGGAGAGGCGAAATGCTGGGAAATTTCCCTGGCCAATGGTGAAGTGGCAGGACCAGATGGGAAATTCTGCCCGGTAGGAGTTCGCTGAGGGGCGCCCTACTGCTGGAATAGGAGGCCGTGCTTCAAGACAAGCCTTCCTGAGGCTGCAACTCTGCCGTACCCAAGTGTGTCGGGGTCACGCACCGTGCAGTGATGCGTGACCATCTCCAGCCTCCCGCCGGGACCCACTGCCCGGGCAGGGTCTGAACCCCCACCGCCTCCAGCTCACGCGCGCAGGGGTGCGTACACGTGGTGACCTGCCTGGGGCCGGGTTCCCGGCTCCGGCTCCTCCTCCCTCCAGCTCACGTTAGGCTTTCTGCAGTATCACGTGCAGCCGCGCCGGGTGCAGGATGGCGGCTGCGGCAGCAGCGGTGGGTGTCAGGCTCCGAGACTGCTGCAGCAGGGGCGCTGTGCTCCTGCTCTTCTTTTCCCTGTCCCCTCGGCCCCCGACCGCCGCCGCCTGGCTGCTGGGCCTGCGGCCCGAGGACACCGCTGGAGGCCGCGTGTCTCTGGAGGGGGGCACCCTGCGCGCCGCCGAAGGCACCAGCTTCCTTCTGCGCGTCTATTTCCAGCCCGGGCCCGCGGCGCCCGTGGAGCCGGTGCCCACACCCACCCTTTCCCCAGGGGAGAATAGCACCGGCGACTGGGCTCCACGGCTCGTGTTTATCGAGGAGCCTCCGGGCGGGAGCGGCGCGGCACCCAGCGCTGTTCCCACGCGCCCCCCGGGGTCGCAGCGCTGCCGCGAGCAGAGCGACTGGGCATCGGACGTGGAGGTCCTGGGGCCCCTGCGCCCCGGAGGCGTGGCGGGCTCAGCTCTAGTCCAGGTGCGGGTGCGGGAACTGCGTAAGGGCGAGGCAGAGCGAGGCGGCACGAGCGGTGGCGGGAAGCTCTTCTCTCTGTGCGCCTGGGACGGGCGCGCCTGGCACCACCACGGCGCCGCCGGCGGCTTCCTGCTGCGCGTACGCCCGCGGCTCTATGGCCCGGGCGGGGACCTGCTGCCCCCCGCGTGGCTGAGGGCGCTCGGAGCGTTCCTGCTGCTCGCCCTGTCTGCCCTGTTTAGCGGCCTGCGCCTGAGCCTGCTCTCGCTGGACCCGGTGGAGTTACGGGTGCTGCGGAACAGCGGCTCGGCCGCCGAGCAGGAGCAGGCGCGCCGAGTGCAGGCCGTGCGCGGCAGGGGCACCCATCTGCTCTGCACCCTGCTCCTGGGCCAAGCCGGAGCCAACGCGGCCCTGGCAGGCTGGCTGTGCGCCTCGCTGCCGCCGGGAGTCGGGGACACCGGGGAAGACTACGGCGACGCGGGGACTCACTTCCCCTGGCTGCCGGCGCTCGTGTGCACCGGCGCCGTGTTCCTGGGCGCAGAGATCTGCCCCTACTCGGTGTGTTCGCGGCACGGGCTGGCCATCGCCTCCCACAGCGTGTGCCTGACCCGGCTCCTGATGGCGGCCGCTTTCCCCGTGTGCTACCCGCTGAGCCGCCTGCTGGACTGGGCGCTGCGCCAGGAGATCAGCACCTTCTACACGCGGGAGAAGCTGCTGGAGACGCTGCGGGCCGCGGATCCTTACAGCGACCTGGTGAAAGAGGAGCTCAACATTATCCAGGGCGCCCTGGAGCTGCGCACCAAGGTGGTGGAAGAGGTGCTGACCCCTCTTGGGGACTGCTTCATGCTGCGCTCCGACGCTGTGCTGGATTTCGCCACTGTCTCCGAGATCCTGCGCAGCGGCTACACTCGCATCCCCGTGTACGAGGGCGACCAGCGGCACAACATTGTGGACATTCTGTTTGTCAAGGACTTGGCCTTCGTGGACCCCGACGACTGCACGCCGCTTCTCACGGTCACCCGCTTCTACAACCGGCCCCTGCACTGCGTCTTCAATGATACCCGGCTGGACACGGTGCTGGAGGAGTTTAAGAAGGGTGAGCATGTGGTCTAATCTCCTCCCTCAACTCCTACCCCCTTAAAAAGTATTACCCTCTCATAAACACGTGAGGCTTCAGGTACCCAAAGCAGCTTCTCTCCTATGGTACCAAAAACTCAAGGAAGGCCCTACCTCATGGCTCCCTGGGTCTTTCATTTCACTTCTCCCTACCTTCCTGGAGGCTGATTGAGTCCCTGCCTCTTCCCGTTTACTTGGCTCACAGGATGCACTGCATTCCTCATTCATTGCATTCCAGTATTTTTTCAGGGCCTACCAGTTGCCGGGTATTGTGCGGATAGGACTCAGGAGATAGCCCTTGGAGGGCACTGCGTAGCTCCCCATTGCAGGAGGTACCTCTAAGGGTTCCCATAACAAGCAGTCTTTGCTTCCTCTCTGGGTGGGAAGCTCACCATTTCCAATACCAGGGCAAACTCCATTGCTGGACAGCTCCAGCTGCTGAAAATGTATTTCCTACAAGGAGCAGAAATTTATGTCTCCAGAGCTTCTCTGTGGGCCCTAGTTCTGCCCTTTGAATCACATAGAGTAAGCCCCAGACACCTTAGCCATTCTTCCCCCATATTCATCTTTCCATCAACTATGCCTTGGACACACATCAAGTACCCAGGTTGGAGATTAAAAATTGACTAAGGCAGCGAGGTCCTTGTACTTCTGGGAACTCTGGTCCCATGAAGTAAGGTAGATCTAGACCTGAGGAAATATTCTGGTAAAGGGAATCACTAAAAAACCTGCATATCCAAATGAAGGGGCTTCCTTCAGAGCGGTCACATCCTCTGCCCTTGACGTCATGCCTATAACATGTTTACTCCATTTCTGGGGTTTGCCTTTGGAAACTGTCTTCTGAGGTTGAGAACAATTCACTCCAGAAAAATCAGCCTGAATACTTTAGGGTTGATCCTCTTGACATTACACAGTTTGACTGGTCCCCCTAGTAACCAGAGTTGACCCAGAAGGACCGACCCTTGGTTGTTTTTGAAAATCAAATCTACCTTCCAGAGTCACAGTTGAGAGCGTTCAGAAAACTATCTCACAGACCCTGAAAGCAATTCCAGAAATGATTTGAGAACAGTGACATGGTTAGAATAAGTGTAGAACCTCCCAGAATAACTATTTTGAAAGAGGCATTCATCTGTACTTATGAGTTGGCATGTTTATTGAAAGCAAAACAAAGCAAATAATTAATCCCCTGACTTTAGAATCAGGTTTCAAATGTAGCTTCTTCCCTGTGGCTAGCAGGACTCTCATTTGACTATGTGTTTTTGATACATTTCTTTGTTTGTCAAAAATTCAATCTCATTTCATTATCAGCACAGGTACTCTTTGTATATAAAGACTTTGCATACAGAGAGAAATCTGGGGTCTTCCTCCTGCCACAATATTTTAAGACAAGTGAAATTGTGTTAAATATCAAAAAGTAACCTGAGAAAGGGGAAAAAGTCAAAAAGCTACTTTCAGTCTCTCAGATTTGGAGAGAGAACAGCCCTATGCTTTGTACTGATATCATGAGAAGGGGAAGGAAATGTATATATACTGCAGCTGTTTTAGCCCAGTCTGGCTACTGTCTCACCCTCTTCTGTCTGTCTCCCCCCAGTCCTTCCATGACTCATTCCCATTGCATTCAGAGGTTCATCCATATACTTTTAGCATTTTTCTTAACATTTTGTGTACCCTACAGAAGGGAGTCTTGGTTCTGGGCATAAAAGCTATGAAAATCTATATTAGTTTGCTAGAGTTGCCATAACAAAATACCATAGACTGAGTGGCTTAAACAACAGAAATTTCTTTTCTCACAGTTCTGGAGGCTGAAAGTCCAAGACCAAGGTGTTGGCCGGTTTGGTTTCTTCTGAAACCACTCTCCTTGGCTTGCAGATGGCTCTGCCTTCTTGCTGTGTCCTTACATGGTTGCCCCTCAGTGTGTGTGTGCTCAGCCCTGGAGTCTCTCTGTATTTGAATCTCTTCTTATAAGGACACCAGTCAGATTGGATTAAGGCTCACCCTATCAGCCCCTTTTTAATTTAACCACCTCTTACGCGTGATAGCTAAGATAGAGTTCACTGTCACGTGCTGCCAGACAAGATTTTTTTTTATTGAGGTATAGTTGATGTACAATATTATATAAGTTTTAGGTGTACAACCTAGTGATTCACAGTTTTTAAGGGTTATGTTCCATTTATAGTTATTGTAAAATATTGGCTATATTTCTTGTGTTGTACTATATATCCTTGTAGCTTATTTTATACATAGTAGTTTGTACCTCTTAGTCCCCTACCCCTATTGGGCCCCCTCCCCCTTCCCTCTCCCCACTGGTAACCACCAGTTTGTTCTCCATATCTGTGAGTCTGTTTCTTTTTGTTATATTCACTAGTTTGTTTTATTTTTTAGATTCCACATATAAGTGATATACAGCATTTGTTTTTCTCTGCCAGACAACATTTTTAATGAAATTCCTGGGAACTCATTCATTTAGTACTTACGGGCATCTATATAGTGCTAAGCAACAGGGGAAACAATAAGACTGCCCTGAGAAAATTAACAGTCTACAAGGGTGGACAGTGTTAGAATAAAGGCAGTCTTCTGAAGCAGAAATTGTGTCTTACTAACCTCTGTATCTCCAGCATCTTGCACTGTGCCTCCCATGTAGTAGGCTGCTGGAAAAAGTCACTATTGATCAGAAATGAGTCCTGTTGCAGAATTTCTAAATCTGGTCTAAAAAAAGGCACAGTAGGGCTTCCCTGGTGGCGCAGTGGTTGAGAGTCCGCCTGCCGATGCAGGGGACACGGGTTCGTGCCCCGGTCTGGGAAGATCCCACATGCCGCGGAGCGGCTGGGCCCATGAGCCATGGCCGCTGGGCCTGCGCGTCCGGAGCCTGTGCTCCGCAATGGGAGAGGCCACAACAGTGAGAGGCCCGCGTACCGCAAAAAAAAAAGAAAAAAAAAAAAGGAACGGTAATGTTCTGTCAGTAAGTGGTTAGTTTGCAATTAGGTAGATCCCTAAAGAGAAGCAGGCCATTACACCACCCCAAGAGATTTCCATGCCCCTGTAGAGCCTTGCTCTTTCCTCAGAGTGTGGTCCACGAGCCAGCAGCATGGGCCTCACTTGGGACCTTTTTAGAAATGCATATTTTCATGCCTCACTCTAAATCCACTGAATAAAATTCTGCATTTTAGCAAGCCCTCAAGTGACTCATGTGTACATTAAATTTTCAGAAGCATTGTCTTCAGAGAACCTTATTAACAATGATTCGTAGATTAACTTAGAATAGAATAAATACAAGGTATAATTATCAAGGTAGGTGTTCTCTGGCTCCAAGCCATATAATACGGTGGTCATTTTCTATAAGAGTTACGTTTGCATCATAGGTTAGGAGAGGAAAGCTGAGTTGAATTACTTTTCTTTACCTTTAAAAATAACGTTTTAAACAAGTCGTAATAGCCCTTCCATTTCCCTCACTTCCTTGCACTTCAAGTAACTTAACCACCTAAACAAACCCCTTAGGAAGTAGGAGAGGAAAATAGTAATTTTAATAGGAACAACGGTTACCATTAATTGAGCAACAGCCCTGCCAGGCCCAATGCCAAGCCCTTGACATACTCAGAACAACCCACCTGGGGAGGTATTATTACCTCCATTTTACAGATGAAGAAACTAACGCTCAGATTGATTACATGACTTGCTCAACTTTCCACAGCCAATAACTGACTGAACTGTGATTTGAACCAGATCACAGGACCCCAAAGCCTGTTCTTATTCCATCTCCCATCCCAAAACTCCTGCCACCCAAACGGTTCAAAGCTGTCCTTTCACCTCTGACTTGCTGCCTATGACTTGCTACCCTTGAGTTTCTGCAGGTTGGGAATGTAGCTTTTTATAATTACAATAATTGCTAACATGCATATTGCATTTTACAAAACAGTTCTACCTACCTCTCTTATTCTTAAAACAACTCTGCAGGTATAGGTGAGGACCATAAGAACATAAGAAGCGTTACTTGTACTGCCTAAGATCATCACTCACCTGGTCTATTCCAAGGCCCAGATTCAAGTCCCGGTCTTGTGATTCCAAAGCTCTTATCCATATGGGATTTTATACATATATATTTCTTATGAGCTCCAGGTCTTTAGAAGTAAGGGAAAAGGAAAGCAAGCATGCTAGCTTTACAAAAAGGAACAATATTTCTCCCCAGCTGACTGTGAGTTCCTTGAGGCAGAGAATGAATCTTACTTACTTTGTATACTCAGGACAAACACAGTGACCTTGGTGGCTAGAAGATGAATAAATATTTATTGAACAAGTGATCTTAAATAGCTAATTTCAGTTGTATTTCTATGTTTGAGTGAGGTGAACCTTAAGTACAGGATAATTAGTGTTGTTCCATTGACCATAATCAATCTTCCTCTTCCCAGTTTATCTACCCCAATTAGTGGCACACCTGTGCCCCCAGTCTACCAAGGGAGAAACCTCTCCTTCACTCCCCACCCTCATCCTACTACTCACTGTCTTAGTCTTTTCCGGCTGCCACAACAAAATATCAGACTGAATGGCTTAAACAACAGAAATTTATTTTCTCACTGTTCTGGAGGCTAGAAGTCCAAGATCAAGATTCCAGCTGATTTGGTTTCTGATGAGACCTCTCTTACTGGCTTGCAGACAGCTAGCTACCTTCTCACTGTGTCCTCACGTGGCCTTTCCTTAGTGCACAAGCACAGAGAGAGAGAGAAACAGCTCCAGTCTCTCTTCTTATAAAACTACCAATCCTTTTGGATTATGGCCCCACCCTTGTTATCTCATTTAATCTTAGAGGGCCACTGGGGATTAGGGCTTCAACATATCAATTTGGAGAGGGGAAGGGACACAAATTTTCAGTCCATAATAATCTCCAAAGTCAGCCAAATATTTGGAACAAAGTCTGCAAAAAATATGCCAATACTGCATATTTCTTGTACCGTTACATAACTTAGGCTGCTATTTCTTCCACTTAGG